AGGGGAGGGTCGCTGCAGTGGGGAGCACCCCACAAACACTGCTCCCCATCTTGCCTCGAGGAGGTTGGAGGGTGCAGCTGTGAGCAGCCCTCAGGCACATCCCCAAAGGTGGGAACTGCTGGGATAAGCTCCACAGGCACCTCTTCCTTGCCCAGATTAGGGTCCTGGAGAAGCCTCTTGCTCAGCAGCCCCTCGACACCCTAAAGCAGGTACTGGTGGGTCATCACGGTGGGGAGCCCCTCACCCCCTCTGCCCCCACAAAGGGAGTGGGTCAGGGCCCAGGACACTGGTGTTGACCCCCAGGTTTATCACCTCTCCCCGAGACAGACAGGGACCCCACAATGCTGGGCCAGGCTGTGCTGGCAGGGCTCTGGTGACGGACGGTGCTGAACATATTTCCTGGATAAAAATAGACCTTTGGTGCCCAGAGCCACCTGTCACTTGCTCCACTGGCTGGCAGACACATTCCTGTGGAGGTTCTGCCTTTTCCTGAAGTTTCTCAGGATGCTTTCTCTCCCCTGCTCTTACCAGGTAGTTCCATTTGCTGTCCCTGAATCTGTGTCCGTTTGTCCCATGACACATCCCTGAGGTGGCCACCACCACGCTGGGGCTGTAGGGAAGTGCACTGGTTTGTATCAGTACAGGTGACAATTGGGGCGCCACCAGACCTGTGCTTAAACTCCAGAACAGCCTCCTGTGTGTTGTTTTCTCACATCTCTTGATTTCCTCCCCCAGCTCCTTCCCATCGTGGATTCACTCTTGCTTGACCTAACCAATCCTTGTACTTGGCTGCCAGAAAAGCTCAGGGCGTTGTTTTTCCTGTTGTTGCTCTTATTTATGTTTTCTTTTAAATGCTGTTTGCCTGATTTATTTATGGAGAGTAAGAAAAATGTAATAGTGCATCTCTTTTTAGAAGTATTCAGTTAGACTTCTCTTTACACAATCACAGAATCGTGGAATGGTTTTGGATGAAGGGACGTTAAAGCTCTTCTCATTCTATCCCCTGCTGTGGGCAGGGACACCTTCCACTATCCCAGATTGCTCCAAGCCCTATCCCACCTGGATTTGAACACTTCCAGGGATGGGGCAGCCACAGCTTCTCTGGGCAAAATATATTTATATTCTAGATTGGCAAATGAATCTCCCTCCCCATTCCTTTTTGTCCCTCAGAAAGGGCACCTTTGGAAAAGACCGTTTTAGGAGTAGATTGTTCCAGACAAAAATACATGGTCTGCAAATTCTTTTCCTCCTGGATACAGTGATTTGAGCCCAGTGGTTAGAGCCTGATTGTGGCTTTCAGGTTGACCAACCCAACAGGATGTGTAATACCACCTAAATACCAAATTCTCCCTCGCTGGGAAGTCTGGAATAACTGAGCATGTTTTTCCGTTCTTATTCCTTTCAGACAGTGTTTGTTGGGAAGAACAAGCCTCAGAAAGATCCCCTGAGCTCCTTCCGCTGGCAGGGCTTCAGGCTGGAGGAATATCTCATCGGGCAGCCCATCGGGAAGGGCTGCAGCGCTGCCGTGTACGAAGCAGCCATTCCTTTCTCTCCCAGTCCTCGGGAATGTGTGGAGAGCAACCATCTCCCAGCCGTGCAGCAGGATCGTGGCTCAGCTTCCCAGGCAGCTGGAGAGGAGCCTGTGGTGAAACACCAACCGAAAGGGGCTTTCCCCTTAGCTATCAAAATGATGTGGAATATTTCGGTAAGGAGTCGGCTCTGAGTTCCTGTGTCTGTCACTGGGGAATTCTGGCTGGAATGTTTAATACTGGAGTGTTGAAAGCGCTAATTATGGAGCGCAGGATGAGTGTGTCACAACAAAGCTGTTGGTAGGTGACACTGGAGATGTAGAGTGTTAGGAAAGAGTCCCATAGCGAGGTAATTAGCGTTCATCGTCCTCTGGAACCTGCACTGAGAGCTCCTGCTGCTGGAGTTGTTGGGTATGGAGGGGATGTTTTGGGAAGAAAAGGTTTTCTGAAGCTGGCTCTGATGGAAAGGTCTAAGAATGGGAAAACCTGTGATTGAGGAATTGGTGTTCTGTCAGTGTCAGCACAGAGATGGGGTTTCTTCCTGAAGAGTCACAGGGTAGGCAGTAACCTTCCTGCTGGGTCCCCTTGCCATCAGGTGACTGGCCAAGATCTGCTCCAGAGTTTCTCACCTCATGTGACTGGTGATCCAACCCCTCCATGTGGCTATTCCACATTAAAAAAAAATCCACAGGGCTTTCCCTGTTGAAGAGGTTTAGTGGCACTTGATGTGACAAGTGGATATTCCAAGAGAGTCTTCCAAAATGCCAACATCTGGAATCCACTGGGCTCCAGAAGTACCCTGGCATTTAGCTGTGGGCTTTTCCACTTGGGTTTGGGAGTGCGAGGTGTAGCTCGGAGCACTGGCAGTCAAGGGTGCATTTGAAGTGACAAACAGGTTTCTTTCTGCAGGTAAAGGCCTTGCCACATCCCTTGGTGAAATCTTTAAGTAGTTAATTGCCTTCCCTGATTTTCAAGGGAGGGGAGTCCCTGGAATTTTGTCTCAGTGATCCAGCTCCAGACACAGTGCCAGCACAAGGATTGTCTGCTTTTAGCCTGCAGCGGATGATTTTGGAGCTTAAACCAAGGTGGGGTGTGGTTGTTGTTGCAGGCTGGTTCCTCAAGTGAAG